AACTCGGATCGCTGGATTCAAAGTCCAGAGTGCTAACCATTACACCATGGAACCGACCACGTGAGCACCTTCTCCTTCCTTCCTTTTGTTCTAAATCAATTAGACGTCAAGTTCTTCACCCTCTCTTCCCTTTTTAGTATGACCATGGTCCAAAATACACTACGGAAATAATCCAGTTTGAGACCACTTTAGCTGTCCTGGTCCAATGCTAGAGAACTGTAGTTTGTTGAGTGAGACCTTTAGCCTTCTCTGTCAGAGAGCTCTGGTGCCACTATAAACTACAATCCCCAGGAGGATTCCCTAGCACTGAGCTAGGACAATTAAAGCGGTCTCAAACTGGATTATTTCTACAGTGTAGATTGGACCTGTGTTGGAAAAATATGAGAATAAAATAAAGAAAGCCTTGCTGGAGTCTTAAAGCACTTTTATGATCACTTGATCTGAGAGGCTGGGTTTTATATTTCCAAAAATATAAAAGTTGTTAATGGGGGAAACAAACCATTTCACAGGAGAGATGGAAGAAAAGTAAAGGATCCTCAGCATACCTAACTATAATGGCTGCATCTGCACTACAAAATTAATCCAGTTTGACACCTCTTTAACTACCATGGCTATGCTATGGAATCCTGGGATTTGTAGTTTGCTGTGGCACCAGAGCTCTCTCTGACAGAGAAGGCTAAATGTCTCACAAAGCTGCAGATCCCAGAATTCCATAGCATTGAGCCACAGCAGTTAAAGTGGTGTCAAACTGGATTATTACTGCAGTGTGGATGCAGCCTATATGGGTTTTTAAATAGAATAGGTTTGGCAAATCCCTGCCCAAGCACCTTACAGTGAGAACATTGGCACAAGGAGGATGGCTAAAAGAGGCAAAACAAAGGGAAGCTCTGTTTCTAGTTATTGCCAAGTTTTTTTGTCTTAAGGTATATCTACACCACACAATTATTTCAGTGTGATACAGCTTTAACTTTCATGGTTCCATCCTGTGGAATTCTGGGATTTGGAGTTGGATGAAGGACTAAGGATGCTTTAGTCTACTACAGTATTCCAATATTTTGACTAATAACTTAAATTCCTGTTCCCCTCCCAATAACAAATTCTAGGATTCTGCTATGGGATAAAACAATAGGAGTTAAAGTAATATATGGCTGTAAATGCACAGTGGCTGCATCCGCACTGCAGAAATAATCCAGTTTGACACCGCTTTAACTGCCATGGCTCAATGCTATGGAGTAATGGGAATTGCAGTTTGTTGTGACACCAGAGTGCTCTGTCAGAGAAGGCTAAATGTCACCCAAAAATACAGATCCCAGAATTCCCTAGCATTGAGCCATGGCAGTTAAAGAGGTGTCAAACTGGATTATTTCTGCCGTGCAGATGCATTCACTATACATTTATAGCCATATATCTCTTTAACTACTATTGATTTATCCCATAAAAGAATCCTAGGATTTGTTGTTGGTAGGGGAGTGAGAATTTAAATTATTTGCCAAAGCATTTTAATATACAGTTACCATACCATAGCAGGAAATGGAGCAGAGAACCATTCCAAAGTAGACTCCTTTTAGTAATTCTCCTGTAGCCTTTGAGTGATCTGGTTACATCTGCAATGCAGGTACTGCATAACCCATAGACCCATAAGAGTGGGCTCATAGGGCCAAAGACCCAGGACTATTTGATGGGCAAGGATTTTGTCTGCCACATACCCACCTCCATGAACTTTCCTGTTCTCTTTGGGTTTTGCTGCAGTTTCCACAGTAGCTAAAGAGGAAATGAATTCACAATTCTAACAATTTGGGAGGTGAAACTTGGTCTTGAGTGGGCAACAAACAAGACTCCTTAGCTTTACAAAAGACCTCTTGCAATGGAGAATTAACCCTGTTAGAATTTTTTTTAATGCAGATCAACACAACTGCCTGCATTTAAGGCAGAGTTGCTATGAAGATTATTGGGATGTGAGCTTGTACTTCAAAATTTACCATACTGTGTGTGTGTCGTGTGCTTCCAAGTCATTTCCAACTTGTGGCAACTCTAAAGCAAACCTATCTTTGGTTTCTCTTGGCAAGATTGGTTCAGAGGGGGTTTGCAATGGCCTTCCCCTGAGGCTGAGAGCATGTGACTTGCCCAAAGTAACCCAGTGGGTTTCTTGGCTGAGCAGGGAATCGAACCCAGGGTCTCTAGATTCATAGCTCAATACTGAAACCACTATGCCATACTGGCTCTCTTACCATTACAACTATTACTGAGATAATAAATAATAAAGATTATAATGACTATGACCCATAGTGACCCTGGTGATGAGATATCTCCAGGACCCCTGACCTCTTGCTCTGCTCAGGTCTTGCAAATTCAGGCCCATGACCTCCCTGATTGAGTCTATCCATCTTGTGCGTGGTCCTCCTCTCTGCCTACTTCCTTCCACCTTTCCTAGCATTATTGTCTTGTCCATGACTTCTCATGATGTGGCCAAAGTACGACAGCCTGTTTGATCATCTTGACCTCCAGGGAGATTTCTGGGTTGGACTGGATGGCCTTAGTAGTCCCTTCCAGTTTAATGAGTCTCTTGATCGCACAAACCATTCAAGCAGTGCACAGCTCCAGAGAATCATTTAGGATTGTTCAGTTTCGACATTTCTCATTTTCTCATTTTCCACATCAGTCTCAGTTGCCCTGGAAAAAGCACATCTCCCTTGACGGGCCACCAAAACACAATATTCTGCAAGAAAGAAACGTCAGTGGGGTGCCCCTAGCCCCCACACAAGTGTATGCCATGGATGCTGCCTAGGTCAACTTGATCCATCTCACGCATCCTCGACACATTTCGTGAAAATCTACACAGCTGTTTCTGCGTACGAAACAGAAACTTAATTTTACTTGTACCAAGAATTTCCCAAGAGGCCTGTCACACAAATTATCAGCTCCATAACAATTCTGGTTTTAATAAAGTAAATCAGTAACAATTCAGAACATGAAAACCTCATTCTTCTACAGCTTCCCCCAATCTGATGCAATGCCACTCAGGTGTGTTGGCCTGCAACTCCCATCGTTCCCAACCTGCTTGGAGAAAGCAGTTGCCGAAAGAGTTTGGGGGGAAAGTTTTGCAAAGATCAGATGTCACCTTCTGATCTTCCTTTCTGCTTTTTAATCCCCTCCTGCCCTTATATTCCAATGGATCAACACCCAAAGTGAATGAAACAGGAGCAGCCCATGCTGTGTGCCAGCAAATCAAGAATGCCTGTGCTGCTTACTCCTTTCCACCACCTACAGAAAGGTTGACATTCAAGTTAATCCACCTCACTAAAGAATGTGAACTTGCCCTGTCGAAGAGCATAGATAGAACATCTGAAGTTAGAAAAAAGAATACTGCTGTGAGCAGCAGAAACTCAAATTGGTTTTATCACCCTTCAAAGAGAAGTTTCAGCTCAATCTAAGCCAGAGCTGGGAATCTTACAAACTTCCCAATGTGGTTGGATTGCAGCTCCCAGTATTCCTATTAGCTATGCTGGCTAAGGCTGTTGGGACCTGCAATCTGGCCACATCAGAGGGCTGCATGCCCATGGCTGACCTGAACCAATTTTATTGCCATGGCTGTTTCCTCTGCCCTTCCACCAGGACTTGCAGAGAATTATTCTCATACACAAATCCATGATTCCCAGGCAGATAAGGACTGCAAATATAGCCAGGTCTTGCCATAGTTGCAACTGCACCAAGGACCAAAAGACTATCCAAAGCCAAGTTGGTTTGTTCATAAAATGTCTCCCCAGAGAATTGGGGTGCAGGTACACACTCGTATCTGTGTGCAGATTCAGCATCTGCATAATTCCTTTCTCTCTCTTGTGAGCAGCGTTTGGGATATGGAGTGCTAAAATAAAAAGAAATTTGGGGCCCATTTCATAGCACACAGTTATACCACTCTCATTCCACTTTAACTGCCACATTTCCCATCTTATGGACTCCTGGGATTCTGAGAGGAATATTTAGAATTCTCAACCAGAGAGCTCTAGTGCTTCACCAGACTATAAATCCCAGCATTTCACAGGATGTTGCCATGGCAGTTAAAGTGAAATTATAGCACTACAACTGTGTAGTGTAAAAGGAGAGGTAGTGGTGGGGGAGGAGAAAGAGAGAATACTTGTGTTGTGTGCCTTCAAGTTGTTTTCGACCTAAAGCAAACCTATCATGGAGTTTTCCTGGCAAATTTCTTCAGAGGAGGGTTGCCATTGCCATCCTCTGGGGCCGAGAGAGTGTGACTTGCCCAGGCTCACCCAGTGGGTTTAATGGCCAAGAGAGGATTTGATCTCCAGTCATAGTTTAATACTCAAACCATGCAGGCTCTGCTTGGCAGATAATCCCCTATCCCTCATCCCTGCCTCTAAACCTTGTATTTCTGCCAGTCTTTATGGCTTTAGAGTACAAATGAGAATCATAGGACCCTCCAGATGTTGTTGGGGTGTGGTTCCCAGCATTCCTCATCACTGGTTAACCTGGCTGGTGTTGCTGGGATTTGCAGTCCACCAACATCTGGAGGTCACACAATTCCCATCCCTATTTTAGAAGAAAACCAACCATGAGGACTAGGAATTTATGCCACAGAGTGCACCTTCTCCCAGGATTCAACAGGAGCTGCTCATCTTGCTACCCATACTCTATTCCATGATATGCAGCCAGGGAAATGCCTAAATATCCAAGCCTTTACAAGATGGGTCAGAAAGCACACACCATGTGGGAAAACTGTTTCTTCTCCAGCCCACAAACAGAATGAATATCAATGAACAGAAGTAAATCCCATAAATTTCAATGTGGCCAATACTGCAAGAAATGGTACCCTCAAAACCATCCCACAATCCCACTATGAATCCAACAGGAAGCTTGGGTGGCCTCCATTTTCTTCTTTGGAGCCCAAAAGTAAAAAAAAAAAACCCAAAAAACCAACAGTTGAGGAAGAAGAAACATTTTGGATGATAGATATCCTCTTGGGCGTGGCAATTCATTTGGGTATTGAACCTTTCAGTGAGTCTATAGCCATTTCCTGATCAGGGTATGGGTTACAGCCCCAGTCCAGTCCCTGTGTGTCTCATAATTTACAACATAAAGCAGACAGAATAATGTGATTTTTCCAAGTGTCCCTCTCTGCAGGTAACTCAGCTCCAGCCTCCACTGAAAACCAAAGTCTCTGTCACTGTGGGGCCAAAGCAGATGCCCAGAGAAGAAAGAAAGAAAAAGATCTCCCTGCAGTGTTGTTTACAAATTACAATGAGGGAAAATATGGCTGGAGATTGGTGAGCTCTCTGTAAAATGATGGTTGTAGCCCAGAAGGGATTTCTAGTGGACTGTTCTCTCCTTCTGCCGCTGGTAATCTGGAAGCAAAAGAGAATGGGGAAAGAGAATGAAATTTTAATATACAGACCTTGTTCTGAACTAGAACTGGCTGAAATTCCAGCTCACCCCAAGACTTTGTATGGTACTAAAACCTGACACACATCCCTGATGAAAGGTAAGTTTCATCGGAGATAAATTAATGCAGCAGTGTACCCCAGAGGAAAGGATCAGTCCTTTAGCCATAGGAAACCACCATCTCACTGAAGCAACTAGTAGAATTTGGCCCTCAAGCCACAAATTCTACCAGAATTTTCTTGACACTCTACATTTCCACAGATCAATAATGGGTCCCTTGGGCTAGAGTGCACCCTGTCCACCAAGGTTTGGCAACTAGAAAATGGATCCCAGGATTATCTAGGATTACACATGTTTGTACTTCATGAACTGCACAGCCATGGTCTGCAATTTGTTTTGCTGCCCTATCAGCATTTCCCTGGCTTGCTGCTATGTCCAAAACCAGCCATTGATTGCTCTTGCTGTTGCACCAAAGCAGCTGGGATCTGGATATACTGCTTTGTACATGGAAGCTTTGTTTTACCATCAGAGCTATGCACACACTGGTCTTGCATAAATTTGCCTAATGTCATTTTGAAAGCCATTTTGTCCTGTACAGCAAAGATGAGATCATGGATACAGCATATCTTGGCAGACTGCAAATCCCAGCAGCCCCTTGGTCAGGAGAGACAATGGGGAGGGACAGTGGGAGTTGCAGTCCAGGAACATCTGGAGAGTTGATGATTTCCAAACCTGCTCCATAGGATATGCAATTTACATCATCACCATCTGCTTTCAGCGATTTGTATACTTGTGGATATAAATAAAATGTTCTTTTCCTCTTCTCATTCATGGTTTTGTGGCAGGATGGGCAAAGCAAGGCCAACAGGCTGTATGCATCCCCAGTAGCTTTTGCAGCCCTCAGGGCTGTGTGTCATTTTTTCCCATCCAAAATTGCCTTTGGAGGACATTTCTACCATGCTTTTGCACACACAAACACAATTAAGGCCCAGGAGAGGCCATTTTTGAAACAGGAAGTGACTTCCACTCACTTCCTGTTGCTAAAAAACCAAACATGGGCCTTAAACGGCCAAGAAAGACCCAGGATCATGGTGAAAATATGTCCCTCAGAGGAAATTTGGGGTATTTGAGAGCCATTATTTTAAATTTTTATTTTTGCAAAAGCAGGAGCATTGTGGTAGGAGGTTGCAGTCCTCCAAAGTTTCCTGTGAGACTAATATGGCCTCCTCACTTTCCATAGTTAACCATACCTATTTTATGGCATGGTCTCCTGAAGGCTGAATTCTCTCTGTGTCTAATAACTAGGAATCAAAGTAATTTATACTATGAAGGTATGGGAGAGAAGAAGGAGAATAGCATTTGGAAAGAGGCACAGACCACCAGAAGCAACTACTTACTGTATGGGAAGAAGCGGACTCTCATAATGATCTCCCGAGCGGTTTTCAAGATCTCCACAGCCTGGAGAGAGGAAGCAACAATGATGAGAGAACAAATAATTCTGAAGAACATTCAGTTGAGCAACATTAAGTTTTTTATGTTCATGATGGAATCCTATATGACATGGGTGAGAATCACGTGGCCCTTCAGGTGTTGGTACTGGACTGTGAGTCCTAGCAGCACTAGCCAGCAGCGGACTGCTAGGAGGTTCGAACCCTGGTCTCCAGAGTTATAGTCCTATGCTCAAACCACTGCACTACACTGGCTCTTTAGGGTTTCAGTTTTGGACCTCCATTCCTAGAATTTGTCAGCCCACATGGTCAGGTGGCCTTGGACACGTCATACTCTCTTAGCCTCAGAGGAAGGCAATAGCAAATTGCCTCTGAACA